AATGGCACCTAGCGTATTCCAAGTGTGTGTGAAGAAGTTTGGGTCGAATCAGGGGATGATCAACACGAACATTTATTATCCTGGTTTTGACCTCGCCGTAAGCAGTAAAATATTGAACCCTCGGTTTCCTCGCATATTTGAACGGATATACGGATTAGATCGCCAAACAAATAGAATAACACTGCCCTAGCTTGGGGCCAAGCTTCGAGAGAATGGATTTGACTACCACAATCATGCGATACTATCTTAGTTCTCAATAGCGGATATGACTAGCATCGTCCGGGCATTATGTGAACATACCTCTCTCTTAGAGGCTAAAGAGAAAGTGAGAATTCCCCCAGCGAGGTCAAAATAGAGGGGTTTTTAGCCAATAAACGTGGGTGATATTGTTCGTTCAATATTAACATTATAGGCGTATAACCTCCAGCATATACACCGTGCATTCTATCTAGAATCTATATTGTTCCAGTTTCATTGCGCAAAGACAGATGTTCTAGGTTTTAAGGGTATTTTGTTAACGTTAGTCGTAATGAAGAAAGCGCTACTCGATGTCTATACGTTTAGATAAAGGCCCGCGTTCTTGAATTGCATCTGTATTGAAAGAGGCTACATAGCTACTGGTTATAGAACATCTTGATAGTTCACAGCTAGAGCGCGGAGAGGCTACCATATCAGCGAAACTTTACTCAACCTCAATGCCCACCTGTTCTGCAACAGTTTGTAAGAACACTCTCATCTCTCGCTTATCCCTAATCACTTCCTCAATCCTCACATTCTTGGCGATGAGATCGTAGACGTAACATTTTCGTTGTTGGCCTAGTCTATGACAACGCTTCTCCATCTGCAGGACCTCTGATGGATTATTTGATGGCTCCGCAAGGATAATGTGATTCCCCCTCTGGAGGTTGAGACCCGTTGAGAGAACACGCTGAACCCCAACAAGAATCCGGGGCCGGTTCTTGTGCATGAACATCATGACCTCTTTGCCATCTGCATTTTGAGCTGTCTTCTTATCATCAACAACTGTCGTGTCATTGAACGATGAAATGATGATTTCCTTGTCCTTGTCATTCATGGTCGCGAGGAACAACGTAATTCCAACATCTGGTAGAGCAGATTGAAGAACGTCGTGAATGACCACCGCTGACATAGGTTGCTGGGCTGTCACAACAATCTTCTGCAAATAGTCGTCGGGCGTTCCAATAAAACTTGTAGGATCTTGATCTTTGAGCTTTTGTGCGGCATTCCGATCGCCGTCATCGTGTGCCATTATGTTGCGGATGATTTCGATAATTTTCACCATCTTTGGGTCATCCTTGGTTGTCTTTGTTACTTTTCTTCGCAAAGCCGAATTATCTTTCCTGTAACGCTGGCAATCCATCCTTGCTTGAGTAAGCTTGATAGTTGCATTTGGATTCTTTCCTTTCTCCTTCGGCGAGTTGTATAGCCAGTCGTTGAAATCACCGGCTCGAATAAGAGTGGCCAAGGATGGCGCAGTTGCTACGACTTGGGAAGTGTGATATTCTCTTATAAAAGTGGTCTGAAGATTTTGGAAAGTTGCTGGTCCTTTGCTCTTGCTATTTGCGTGAACTTTAAACGCATCTTTAAGCATCTGAATCTGTGCGTTGGCATGTTCCAATTCTTGGTCGCTGTAGTTAACTTGTACATTTCTTTTCTCGAATTCTGGTAGAGGTACAATCGATGTCTTCCCATTTGAGTCTGGGAGGTGCGTCAACTGCATGCGTCGAAGCATGATAGGCGAGATGGCATGGACTACCGAGGTCGTGGTTTCTTTTGCTTTATCATGACAGTTGTCGTTCCAGAGCTTCGTAGCTTTATTGTGCTCCAGGAGGAAGTCGCATTTACAAAATCGGTTGACTTCGTCTCGAATGCGTTTAAGCACATCCTTGGGACATGCCCTCTTCACGAACTTCAACATTGGTGTCATCTGCGTCTTGGCAAGACTGCACCATACGTTGAGGTCCTTTAGATCTTTCCATGGTGTGCCGCTGGAGAAAACAAATTTTGTAGGAACTCCTTTTGCCTGAGAAAATGGCGGCCGCTCACCCTCAACATAGGAACTCTGGTGTTTGCATGTAAATTTCTCTAGTGTTCGTATGATGGCGGTTGAATCCCCGGTAATCTGATGAAATTCATCCACTGCAATGAGGGAAAAGGCGGCGGAAGTCCTCTTTTCTTTGTCTCCAATAGCATTGACGACCCAGGCTAGGGCGCTGGAGGGAGTTGTGATAACGACATAGTTGACGGGTGGTGGAAGTTCGCAGGACGTTCCATCTTCGTGGAACGACAGAATTCTTGAGTCGAATACCGCATCGTCTTTTGTTGAGTTCTTCGTACGACGAGTTGGCCCGGTCTTACTCTTGATAGTACCATGCCCAATAACAGATTTAAGTTGGAATGGGCAATCCTCGTCACAGAAGTCATTTACTGTGCCTGCCCAGTCAGGAATTGTAGATTTGACCATGCATACCACAAGAGATGGCCGCATGTCAATAACCCAGTTGCGAGCGGGAGAGTCGGGGTTGCAGATGCACTTGAAAGGAAAGTAACCCTGAGACGGACATTCTTGTCCTGTAGAAGCGTCTTCGGGAAGATGCTTCTTAGCATTCTCGTTGTTATTCCTGAACCGGTTTATTGAGCGGGTCATGTGCACCAAGACATTCTTGAGCCACATTAGGGAGATAGTCATAATTGTTTTTCCCAGACCTTGCTCGTCGGCGAGGAACATGGCACCGCGCTCTTCTAAAATCCTGGTCGCTTGATAAATCATCATGTACTGGTGCGGATACAAAGGCTTCTTGATCCATTTGACCTTCTCTTTCTTGTTGATCATCTTGAGTAGGGGTGGCATGCCAAAGAACTTGCGTGCATTGCACCATTCTTCGAAAGTGAACTTGGCCAGGATAGGTGAAGTACGGTTCATCACTTCCTCAAAGTTCATGGTCTGCTCTTCACCGTCATTGATTTCCTCTTCATCCCTTTCCTTCGCTTCCTCCTCCTCCTCCTCTTCTTCTTCGCTCACCCATGGGGGTGTTAGAATTAGATCTGGATCATACTCCATGTCGAAATCATTGCCCTTCTTTGGTACAATCTTCAACCTTAGGGATCTCTCGAGGTTTCTATACGCATGTAAGAAGGCTGCGCTAAATGTATGGAAATCGAATCCAACGGATGTACCGTGGAATGGCCCAGAATTCAAAATGATCACATCTTCTTCGTAGGGGTCCCATTGAACTGCTTCTGACCGCAACCACTTTGGGATACAATCGGTTGCCTTCTCAACATCGTTCGTTTCAATGAATTGAAGTTCCCGGAAATTGTTGATTGGCGGCATACCATCTCCATCCCAGTTCACATCCCGAGACACGAACAACGCCATATCCTTCATTTCGAGTTTGTTTATGACGGGATTGATCTTGACGCGTTTGTAGGGTGACTCGATGATGTCTTTTTTTAAGGCCGGCGATGCTACGGATTCGCATTCTTCTTGTTTAGGCTTTCTCTGAGTTTCTTGTGCTGGTGTCTGGGTAGTCTTGCCTTTGTTCTTTGGAGGCTTTTGTTTAGTAACGTGAGGAGTTGCAGACCTGCTTTTGGGCTTGAATGTTATGGAGTACTTCACCATCCTCTTGACC